AAACATCAATGTGACACAGACACACCAACTGGTTGCCTCCCATACACCCTCAACCAGGGCTGGGGATCGAGCCTGCAACTGAGGTACATGCCCTTGACCAAAATTGAACCTGAGACCCTTCAGTCCAGGGCAACAATCCAACCACTGAGCCAAACCAGTTAGGACAGACTTCCACTTTTCTTGAAAAATGTAGGTTACAGCCAACCCAGGGTCTTACTTTATATTTGACAAGCAGCTGGACCTGCTTCCTTTGGCCAGAACAAGTATTTTCCAGTTCACTGTAGATTCCAGCATTCAAACAATGACCACAGATGCCTTTATACCCGGCCCTTATCTGCCTGTTCCTGGTAGGTATCTGAATTTGCACTTCTGTTTTTAAGAACCACGTGGGCTTATAAACAGGTAGTATACTTAAATTCTCTTAATGTATTAAAGGGGTGTGATGAGAGCTGTCTTATGATTGCTCCCTGCTTGTTCGAGGTGCCTCTCTTTCATCCTCAGTTCCCAAGGACTTGAGAGCCTCAGTTCCAGACAGGTTTGGTGAGGACAGTCAGATGATGTTCTGATAAGAGCTGTGAGAGAACAGAGAGAGACCATTAAGAAAAGTGGAAGAGGGAATGGAAGGGACAGTAAATGGGGAGAAAGGTTGAGGAAAGGAAGAGGTGGAAAAAGACGACTTACCTGTACTTCTTAAACCAGAAGGTTAAGCCTCCGCCTACCAGAAGAAGGAAAGTCAGCGACACCAGCACCACCCTGATGATCCAGCCCGCACGCCCGTGGCTCCCTGCGTCAGGAACACGAGAGGCGTCTCAGCCCAGGATTCCTCCCTATTCAAGTCACTGGTCTAAGCACATGTGAGGATGCCAGGTGCTATTTCCTCTTCCATTTAAAGTGGCCACTTGTATTCCCCTGAAGTTTTGATGGCCCAGCTGTTCTCAGGGTCTGCACATACGTAATTCAGTTCCCTTCAGCTTATGGTAGCACAGCATACAGGGAAGGGAATGATTCCTCAGGTAGGCAGACCTGAGTCTAAATCCAGCTCATCCTCTGTTTAACAATGAGATTGTGGGCAGTTAACTTGACCGAGCTTAGCCTCAATTTTTTATCTATAAAGTGAGAATAATACTTCCTTCAAAGGAGAGCTGACTGGATGACATGCTGTGTGCAGTGCTCGGCCCACAAACAGGAGGCAGTTGGTTAAGCATAGCTATCTGTTATCCTGCCTTCAAATGTTCCCAGCTCCTCTCCTGAGGAACAAATCTTCTGGGATTCTTCATTTGCCACCTACTTCTGAAACTGTGAGTATTTTAGTCTCATTTTTCTTGCATATGGAACACCCTGGCTCAATGCTTTTTGAGTTGAGAACTTTAGTCCCCTCTTTCCTGTAGCCAGAATCCCCTCCTTTCCATCCTGGTCAGGGCCTCATCTCAGAAACTCGTCTATCCTGCACTTGTCCACTCTCACCCCTTCCCTGGTCCCCCTCCCTCCATGCTTCAGAACCATTTCCTCCCATTCCCAGCTGGGCCCCAGTTCTTTCTCACCCCAGTAGAGGACGATGTCCTGGCCTCCTAGACTGCTGTGCCTCACTCGGCAAGTCAGGCCAGCTGCCTCCCCAGCAGCCACATCCAGGGTTACTTGGAGATACCACGTCCCATCAGCATTGGGCAGGACGTCACCTTTCGAAGTACCTGGCTGCTCCTGCTCACCTCGCATCCACATCACCCACACAGGCTTTGGGTAGAATCCCGAGACATGGCATATCAGGAACAGAAGGCCAGGACCAGGAGGGGGGCCACTGGACAGCCAGGCCTCCGGCTTCACTGTATCCAACAAGGGAATGGGGCACCTTAAAGTGAGGACTGCACTAAAGGTTCTGGGCCTCAAAGCAGGCTCATGCCTCCCACAGTCGCACCTCTGGAAATGAAGGCTCTCGGAATTGCAATCCATTTGTGTTAGCTTCTCCAGGAGAGCCTTCCCTGGTCTATCAACATCCCTGTCTATACTACACCGCCCTGTGTTCAACTGTAACACACGTAACACGTTCAAGCACTGCTTTCGTTGTTAATGTCTTCTCATTCCCCCCTCAAGCAAAGATCCTGTTTGACCCCAGTGTTTATTTAACTGAATTCGTGGAACCCAAAGGATGCTCAATTAATACCTGTGGAATAAATAAACGCTCTCATGCCTTAGCCAGCCCCTCCTGAGCCTTTCTCTTCCAAGGCTCAAAGGAATGTAAGCCCTGGAATGGAAAAACCCAGATGGAGCCCCAGGCTGACCTTGCTTCTCCAGTTCTGATTGCCCTGCCTCAAGGAGGCCTATGAGAAGTTGGGGGCAAGTGTCATTGAAGAGCCACTGTATTGTTTCCCTGGTCCCTTGGTCCCTGTTGAGCACTTTGCTGACCGTCTCCATCCAATGTGGGGCATCTGGGGCTGGCACCCAAGAATTTCTTTGGAAACTCAAGGCATCTCTTCCTTGAAATGCTACGTGGAAGAAGCTTTCTGAAGGGCTTCCAGGGTGCACCTCACATCCCGCAGACACCTGGATCTCAAAGGGATCTAAGGAGAGGAATGGATGGAGGTCAAAGAAGGGTTTAACAGATTGGAAGAAATTGGTGTGAGGGTCATACCACCCAAAGTTCAGGGAAACAAGAGTGGCTGACCCAGAGCAGGACGAATAGGGGATATTTTGAGGAGTCAGAGGCTGGGCCCCTTTTGGCAGAAGTGGAAATGAGAAAAATCCCATCACATGAGGCCAGAGTTTCCCAACTGGGCTTCTGCCTCCGCCGTCTCCCCTTGGGTCGCTGCCCGCCCCCGCCCTCGGCTCACAGTCTATGTGCAGCATCTGGACGAATTCCTGGACGGTCTTGGCGAAGCTGCGCCGATACACCCTGAACACGCGCTGCAGCGTCTCCCACCGCTGGTCGCTGAACGGGCCCCGGGCCCAGGGCTGCAGGAAGCGGATGGCGCGGGAGTCGTTGCTCCACGCGTGGGTCTGCAGCGCCCCCAGCCACGCCGAGCCGTCCGTGCGCGCCCAGCTGCGGTTGGCGAAGGCCGAGGTCTGGAGGCA